ATATAAAGAAACTCATTTGGAAGATGTCAATTGACACAACAGCTGGTCAATCATCTGTGCACACTCACAATAAGCCCCGCCTAGTTTGACGATTTTGGACGATACGACATTCAGACTGTATATAGTGGGACCCACATTATTATCTTTTTGTTCGAAACGATGCTTAAACATACATTCCGCTATACGCTATTTCGTTATAAAATGCTATTTTGTTACACGTTTTAGTAAAGGACATTCAGACAAAACAAAAACGCATTTTCATCTACTCATCTTAAAGCTATAAGATTCTTGTATAGTTATACGGTGATATCTGGTAGTCTGAATGTGTGGTCATTATAAGAGAGTAATGATATGGTGATGACACAGTTATGACTATACCATATGCTATCATGGTCCAGGTAACGTGCACGTGTTTCCATTAGACCAAGATTTTTTTTAAATAATAAGGGGGGTGTTTCACAAAGCTCCTAAGTCGAACTTAACTCTAAGTTAGACTTCAAAATTATGGAGAGCCATTCGAAGCCTTAGAATAAAATATATTCAAAAGCAAAAACTCAAGTATTTTAGACTTTTCATAAATTCCACATCAAGAACATGAAATCTCCTTGATAATAGAACATGTGAATGATTTGAATCAACATTTTCTGCCTTTTTGAATAACTTTTACACAATATTTTCAAATATGCTAACAGCTTTCCATAATTGTTAAATCCAACTTAGAGATAGGTTCAACTTAGGATCTATGTGAAACATCCCCCAGGAGATGACAGCCTACTCAGTAAATAATAACAAATGATAACGATAACAATGTCTTCTATAGCATGGGTGCTCATGGCACTAATCTACAAATGCTACACTCCACCCAGGTGAGGTAAAGGGGTACCTGGCAGGTATTAGTTCCTTGAAATGCTTGAGCGCCGTAACGGCAGCCGTGCTAAAGCCAGGGTAATAATAATGGAGCGCCAGGAGTGGCAATGTGCCAGACATGAGCGCTATATTTTAAGACTCCATTATTATCATTATTATCAATATTATTGCTCCAAAATATACATACGATAATCAGTTAAACTCTGTAAGTGTACTGCTTGTGGTTTATATACAAAACAAATGAACTAGGTTGAGAACTGTCATTTCTAGTGGTCACTCAATGGTCTATTTTACATCAGAATGGCTAGGTTTTGATATTGAAGAGATGCGTCTAGAGCACTTTTTTAATTGCTTCCTTGGTCAGATCTGCTTGGATCAAATATGGCAGGCATACCAAACCTTTGCGGCAGCCGCTAGAAATGAACACACTCCCCAAGAATGGCAAGGTCTATGTTCTACAGGAAGAAATTTATCTGCAGAGCATAGCTTTTCAACCCTGCCTATTTGCAATGATGCGGTGAAGATGTAATTTTTGATTAATTTCTTGGGAAGCTATTTTCTGTCAATATTTTTCAAGCTAGAGCTTGGGCGGGCTAATGATGAGGCGTCTACTGAAAATTTGTTTTCACAAACAGGCAGGCTAGCTTTAGGATGGAACATTTTTCTGCCAACATGTGAATAAAAGAAAAAATATGTAAAACTAAACATTTCACATCTTGATATATCATTATCAAGACTTATTTCAACACTTCAATAAACTACGAAAGCTAAGCGGTTTTGCGAATCTGATATATCATTATCAAGACTATTATTGATATATCATTATCAAGACTTATTTCAACACTTAAATAAACTATGAAAGCTAAGCGGTTTTGCGAATCTGCAAAACTCACTCAAATATGCAAACACTATGCTTGTTTGTACAGGTTCATGAATTTTGTATCCACCTGTACATCCACAATCATTTACATGTATACCGGGAGAAGACCCCAAGGGTTACCGTGATTCACTTGGCTTTTCCCCTCCCAACCACAGGTGACTCCAAATTCTTTTTTAAAATAACAATACTACTACAACTACCCCTACTACTACTGCTGCTACTGCTACTGCTACTAGTACTAGTACTACTTCTACTACCTCTACTCATAATAATAATAATCATAATAATAATACTAATTAAAATAATAATAATAATAATAATAATAACAATAATAATAATAATAATCATCATCATAATGAAAATATTAACAATATTGTAAGACAGAAAAAGCTTTCGGTTTTCAAAGAAATACAATAAAATTGAAACTTTGCAATCAAAAGTAATATTTCAAGAATGACCATGTTAAAATGCAGCATAAATTTTTTTTTTTTTCTGAAAAAACAGCATTCCTTGCAATTGCACTAGTGACAATATAGTGAAAAGATACATCATCTGTTGAGGACCAAAAGGGCATGTTAACTCTGTGTTTATAGGTAAACCCCTTCTGGCCCCAAGCAGATAACTTCTAGAGGCTGGGGTATAATTATGGAGTGTTCACAGCACTTCAGCAAGTATGCGATTTTCATAACATTTCATGACCAATTAGTTACATGCACAGAAATACATAGAAGATGTGATATGGAGGGATGTTGGAGCATGAGTTTGGTTGTCTCGTCAATGGATATAGTTCCATTGTCTCCTTTCCACATAAAAACTTAATGAAGCAGTGTGTACACATGTATTCACTCCTACTGATTCAACAACAAAATATCTAGTCTAGCTTCCAGACTGCACACTGATTCTATTTCTAATGTGATTACAAAGTTCATGTATAGACTTTTCACAACAACAACAAAAATGTAGATCTGCATCAGCATACAGAAAAAGCATGTACTAAGGGCTCAAACCCTCAGCGACTATCCTTTTACACAAATAAATCTGAATGTCATGTTTAAGTTGGAAGAAAAATGAATAAACGAGAATGTCATTTTTAAGTAAGTTGGAAGAAAATGAATAATACAAGAGTGATTGATACAAAGCATAAAATATTGTTTTGCAATTTGGTAAATAGATTGAGATATGTTTTGAATTTGCAATATAAAGCTGATATAATATTTACATGTACTTGGATATGTCCTTAAGCTATGTGCTGTCCAACCAGAAACTTTCATATCGGGTGAAACTGTCAAAATTATCCCAATTAGTTGAGATGCTTGAAAATTTCATGCGGCAAAATGATTAAATCAAATTTATCAGGTGACAAAATTTGGAAGTTCACAATATTTGGGGCTTCACACAAATTTGTTGCCATAATAAATTTTCGCCAAGAACTGTTTTTAAAGTTTGTATCAAGAAAGTTTCCAATTTAACGCTACACTATGCAAGCTGGTGGCAGCAATGCAGGCAAAACAACACACCGCGTAAGAACAATATGGGCACTAGCCTAATGGGCACATATACATGTACATAACATGCATTTGAATACACATCTAAAAAGCAGAGTGAGAGGCAGACAGCACCAAGTCCAAGGCACACTTAAAGATAAACTTGAGTTCTGGGGAGACGTGAAAAATAATTTGGGAGCATTTTCATCGCTATTATGCAAGTGTTGAAGAATATCGGAGCAAAAATGTTCCCTGAAAAGCATGGCTCTTCAAATGGCTTCATATTCTGAATATGACAAGGAACAGGACCTCATTCTTCTGCATGCTACATGTTTGTGTAGTCCCATATAAATCTTCCTGTGTACAGTGCTTATTACTTGTACCAAGACTGGGCCAAATTTCTTATCATTTTGATGATTCCAGAACCTTGCAGTACACACCAATACTTATATGCTACATGATCAACTTTTTCTGATCGATTCCACACCGTTTCTTTCACAACGCAATCGCATGACCAGAACTCAACTTGATCTTTAAAAGCCAGTTTGCAGTCACTCTTGTGCATAACAGTGTCTGCTATGCGAGACTACAATACACTATGTACTATAGCTGCTCCTAGACCCAAATACAGACTGACGAAAAAAGGCACGGCTCAAGACTTCAGCAAATTTCATGCGAAAGCGTCAAACTTGAGTCTGCACCTGCAGACTACTCTTATGGCTGGTAACATATCAATAATGATAAATCGATAATGTTAACGATAAAGATATCGATAAAACTAACGATAACCATGACATGAAACAGATAATGTACAATGTGCATGCAATTTATAGCCTTTGATTTTCTCAGATGCAATAACAATTTCTATGCCAACAGGTTTTATTAATATCATTATCGTTAATGCGACGTGTCACCAGCCATTTACACTCCTCTTACCTGCCATTTCTTCAAATTAAAAAAAAATAAGGATATATTGTGCAAAACTATGTTCCCATATGTTGCAATAAGCTATATTTCTCGTATTTATACTGATTTATTTTACAAATTCAATATATCATGTTATGCTATGTTATATATTACATTGTGTTATTAATTTTGTTTGTAAACTTTTGTAATTCGGCTAAGCGCCGCGATGAAAGTTTTATTTGAAATAAACCATTTTGAATTGAATGAATTGAATTGAACTAGTAGCAGCATGCAAGTACATGTGTGGACACAGCAAATGGAGTAAGATAATTTGATACATTTGATTATATTTTTATTGAAAAGATGTTAGAGCATGCACAAAACAAACATGGATGAAGTTATAAAGATGCACTATTTTAATTAATGAAATTTGAAGGATGTTAGATCATGCATAATAAACCAACATGGATGAGGTTCGACTGGTGCATTGTTTGTCATTTAGTTGGGCAGAGTGAGCGAGGTGCATGCAGACATCATGCATTGCATGATGGGTATTTAGTATTTCCTGTACGGCTTGTTCTAGGTAGGGTGAACAAGTGCACACCGGAGCCACTTAGACAAAGAGTTGGGCCAACGTGGTTTCAGCTAGACTCTCAATACAGTCAAACCTGTCTCAGTGGCCACCTCTCTGTAAAGGTCACCTGTCTATAGCGGCTATGCATTTTATCTCCCTCAAGAAGGAAATGTGTAAAATAGAACCTGTCTAGAAAGGCCACCTGTTTTTTAAACTTCCCCCTTATGCTACGGTCACAAACGTTCGTACTAACAATAATTTTGTACGAATCTCCGTTTTTCCATTGTCTTCCCAAATTTCCATTGTCTGAAAATCGCTTGTACGGCGTTCGTAGCAGTTCGTAACGGCATTTGTGACTGAGGCTTAAGGTTGGAACAGGTTGAACTGTATTTTCATCTATCATATATTTGCCCAACATAGCAACATCCACTATAGTATGTCCAGCTGGAACCGGGTTGGCCAAACTCTGCGTATAGATGGCGCCAGTGCATGCGTACACAATGCATAGTGGGATTCATTTATGGTACCTTTCGCAATCTTCTCCCACGATAGCAGCCGCTCAAGGATTGGCTTAGGGCTGGTCGGGCTCGTGATCTCTGGAACTGGATTGTTCCATTCAATGACGTGGGGGTGTGGTGGTGAGGTGGGATGGAGGGGAATGTCGATGGGGGAGGATACAATGGCGGACGAGGAGAGGGGGGTGTTAGAAACAAGAAAAACAATTGAACGTGTCAGTTTTACCCATGTTAGTTGATAGTGTGAAGGCACCAAGCTAAGAAACACCAAAGAACATGTACATGTACTCCTGGGGGAGTGTTCACACTTTCCAAACTTTCTTGCAGGGACTCATCCCAACTGTTTCCACTAAAGAGCTGTATATCCAAAAATAGATTTCTCAGCTTTATTTCACTGTTTTCTTTCTCTGACGTTTAAAGAAAAATAAAAAGTTTATTAAGTTGATATAACTATAACCTCAAAGACTTGCTCAAAGGAATGCTCTTGTGACAGACAGGAAAGTTTGAAGAGTGATAACTCGCAACCCTGGAGGAATAAGACAAATAATTCTACCCAAACATAATACAAGTAAGCTGACATATGATACGACACAATTGCAAAACAACGACACACCACGTTAAATGGACAACAAAACATCCAAATTAATTTCAATGTATCTAAATTAATATTTTGTATCTTTGGTATCATTTGCTTCTCAAAATTATTATGTCATCTTTTAATTTTGATGCCAACTTAACATCCACAATGCCTTACATTTGAAAGTACATGTAGGGAGGGGCTTCCTGTGACGCAACTTTCCCACCCATCCAACGCCTATGGCTTTGCTTCCTGTGACGCAACTTTCCCACCCATCCAACGCCTATGGCTTTGTGTTTCATGTAGAAGATGATCTTCAAGTCCTTAACTGATGATAATGTATTAAAATACGTCCAAAGCCCTATCTGAATTAATATTGTTTTCCATCAATTGCAATTTAGACACAGATTTATATTTAAGTATGAATATTGAGCATTTAATATCAATGCCTTTCACATTGCTATCTTTTGGGGGTTACAGATTGTTGTCATTCAAAAGGAGCTACTAGTATAAAGACTGAGTCTACTCTATTTCAAACTACATGGTTCCAGTCTTACACTGGGCATGCTCACTATTAAGACACTTTTAATTCCTTCCTACTTGCTAGTTGATCTAAAGTCTAAATGCAGGATTTTGCATGGAGATAACTAGGATTTTGCATCTATGTATAAATGGCAAATTGGATGATTGAGGGAACGAGAGGAAATACAAGGTGGAAGGGAAACAAAGGACATGGATTGAGGGAATGACAAACTGACATGACAAACATACAGAACAGAAGAAAAGGGGGGGGGAACACATCTCCTATAATATTCTCAAACTTTTGTTGAAGGACAAGTACTTAAAACTTTTAATATTCCCGCCAATTACCTTCACAGAGTATTTTTTGCTTCCTTTGGAATGTATTCTTATTTCTTACATTGATATCTAGTCTGGCTTTCCAAGCATGATTTTTTTATTCAAGTCATTAGCTAAATAGTATACAAACAACCTATGTCTGTCACCAAATAAAAACAAAACACCCTCTCCCCCCCCCCCCCCTCCATTAACAAAAAAAGAAACAGAAGATAATTATGAAAATATTGAATTTTGCACTTTTTGGTTTGTAGAATCATTGATTGTGAATTGGAAATCCATGGTGTATAATAAGAATAAGTCCACAACAATATTACTTTTGATATCTCATTCCCTAAAATCTGTGTAATCAGATATTTTTGAATAAATTTCATTACATTATTGGAAAACCAGACCAGGGGGGTGTTTCACAAAGATCTCAAGTTGAACTTATCTCTAAGTTGGACTTAACAATTATGGAAAGCCGTTTGCATCTATAACAATATTTTGCTAAAAGTTATTTTAAAAGGCATAAAATGTTGATTCAAATCAATCATATTCTCTATTATCAAGGAGATTTCATGTTTTTGATGTGGAATTTATAAAAAGTCTAAAATACTTGATTTTTTTTTGCTTTTGAATATATCTTTTTTTAAGGCTACAAATGGCTCTCCATAATATTTAAGTCCAACTTAGAGTTAAGTTCAACTTGGGATCTTTGTGAAACACCTTCCAGCATGTATTTTTATGCCTGTCCTCACTCACCTTGGTCGCCATTGGTCATGAGGTTGTCTTCAGAGACATGGTGTCCATTCGTGAGATGAAATTCCCCATGTCCATTGATGACAAGGTCCTCAGGTTTCTCTTTACTAGCATCTATGACTGGTGTGTCCTTTGAAGTTTCCTCAACTGGCTGTTCTTGCGTCTCTTCTTTGCTTTCTTCTGTCAATTCTGTAGATTCCTCAATAGGCTCTTCTGGTGTCTCTTCTTTGATTTCTTCTGTTGATTCTGCAGATTCCTCAACAGGCTCTTCTGGCGTCTCTTCTTTGATTTCTTCTGTTGATTCTGTATATTCCTCAACAGGCTCTTCTGGTGTCTCTTCTTTGACTTCTTCTGTTGATTCTGCAGATTCCTCAACAGGCCCCTCTGGTGTATCTTCTTTGATTTCTTCCGTTGACTCTGCCTGTGATTCTTCTAGGTGTTCCTCCTTAGGTTCTTCAGCTGTGACTTCAACTGTCTCTTCACTTGCTTCTTGTGACTGTGGCATTTGTTCTGTATCAGTTACAACCTCTTGTTTGATCTCTTCAATTTGCTCCACCTTCTCCTCAGCTTTTTCTTCTTCCACCCCCTGTACATCTACCTCTGTGCCTGCCTCCACTGCAATGTCCTGCTTTATTTCCTCTGTAGATACTTCATTACTGATGTCATCTGAAACTGTTGCAGGTGCGTCCTCTGATTCAATCTCCATTTCAACTACCTCCTCCTTCTCTTCTTCTTGTGGTTCTGTGGCTTCTGCTTGCTGTTCAAGTTCGACACTTGTCTCTTGTGTTTCAACGACCTCTACAACATCATCTTGGACCGGAGGACATACCTCAACAGATTCTTCTGTGTCTGGCTCTTTCACCTCTTCGGCAACTGCCTCCACACTGGTATCTTCTGAGGCATCTTGGCACACTTCTGCATCTGTTGATTCTTCTGTCGCTGGTTCTGCATCTTCAGCTTGTTCTGAATCAGCCTGTGCTTCTTCAGTTACTACCTCCACACCAGCATCTAGTGAATCTCCAGGACACACTTCCACATCTGCTGTATGTTCTTCAGTCACCGGTTCTTCAACAATGACCTCCTGTTCCTCAATGGCTGAGTCTTCAGTTGCCTGAACAGCAGCCCCTTCTGCTTCACCAACAACAGGAACAGCTTCTTCCTCTGCTACCACCTCATCACGTGTAACAGGCACTTCTGGTGCTTCTTCAGGTAAATTTTCAGATACATCACCTGTTGATTGAGGAGATTCCTCTTCCGTTGGAGCCTCCTTATCCTCTATTTCTTGTTTTTCCTCAGTTGCTGGTTCTGCCTCTGTCTCGACAGCAGCTGATGCTTCCTCCGATGCTTCTTCTACAGGATGGTCATCAGCCTCTTGAACAACTGGAGATGATTCTTCAACAGTATCTGCTTCCTCTTCTTCTTTGGCTTTGCTTTCTTCTTGAGGTTGGGATTCTATGCATTCCTCGCTTTGACCCTGAACATCCTCCTCATCCTTCTCTTGATCATCCTGTTCCCTGACATCTGTTACTTTAACTTCCTCTGATGATTGTTCTGTTGACCCTTCCTCTGCCTCTTGTGTGGGAACAACCTCCAAATTATTTGCTTCCTCTTCTGTATTCACCCCATCCACAGTATCCACTGTTTCATTTTCCTCAGCACCATCCTCTGTACCTTCCACTGTGCTAGATAAAAAGTCTAATTTAACATCTGCTTCCTCTGGCTTTAGTTCTGTTGGTACAACCTCTTCTTCCTTAACTATTTCACCACTTGAATTATTTCCAATTTCCTGATCAATTGCATTTTGATCACCCTCGTCCAATGCAAGCCCAAATTCTTCCACCAAGTCTGCAGTAGACATTCGTTTCGTCTTCACTTCCTCAGAGTCAGTTTCATTTTTGGATTCACCTTCCTCTTCAGCAGCAGGCGTTTCTTCCTCTGCGGGTGTTTCTTCAGAAGGTGTTTCTTCTTCTGCAGGTGCTTCTTCTGCAGCAGGCGTGTCTTCAGCAGCAAGTGTTTCTTCAATGGCAGGTGTTTCTTCCTCAGCTGGCGTTTCTTCAGGAGCAGATATTTCTTCATCAGCAGGTGATTCTTCTGCAGCAGGTGTTTCTTCCTCTGCAGGCATTTCTTCTGCAGCAGGTGATTCTTCTGCAGCAGGTGTTTCTTCCTCTGCAGGCGTTTCTTCTGCAGCAGGCATTTCTTCAGTACCAATTGTTTCTTCAATGGCAGACGTTTCTTCAGGAGCAGACATCTCTTCCTCAACTGGTGTTTCTTCTGCAGCAGCTGTGTCTTCAGCAGGCGTGTCTTCTTCAGCAGGTGTGTCTTCTGCAGGTGTTTCTTCATCAGCAGGTGATACTTCCTCTGCAGGTGTTTCTTCCATTGCAGGTGTTTCTTCCTCTGCAGGTGTTTTTTCTTTAGCAGGCGTTTCTTCCTCTGCAGGTGTTTCTACCTCTGCAGGTGTTTCTGCATCAGCAGGCGATTCTTCTTCGGCTGGAGTGTCTTCTGCAGCAGGTGATTCTTCCTCTGCAGGTGCTTCTTCTTTAGCAGGCGTGTCTTCTTCAGCAGGTGTGTCTTCTTCAGCAGGTGTGTCTTCTGCAGCAGTCGTGTCTTCTGCAGGTGTTTCAGCAGGTGATTCTTCCTCTGCCGGTGTTTCTTCTGCAGGTGCTTCTTCTGCAGCAGGTGTGTCTTCTGCAGGCGTGTCTTCCTTTGCAGGTGTTTCTTCTTCAGCAGGTGATTCTTCTGCAGCAGGCATTTCTTCTGCAGCAGGCGATTCTTCTGCAGCAGGCGTGTCTTCAGCAGCAAGTGTTTCTTCCTCTGCAGGTATTTGTTCCTCAGCTGGCGTTTCTTCAGGTTGCTGTTCAGCAATTTCTGCTGCTGGTGCTTCCTCATCTTCCTTCTCATTGGCAACTTCAGTCTCTGGAACTTCTTCCTTTGTGTCTACGTCATCTGCTTTTTCAGAAACTTCCTCTTCTTTCTCTTCTACAACTTCTTCAGCGGTAGGTTTATCTTCATCTACAGGTTCTGTATTTTCTACCTTTGTCTGTTCCTCCTCTACACTTTCTACTACTTCATCTTTTTCTGCTGCAGTGTCCTCCTCTTTCTCTTCTGCTACTACTTTCTCCTTTGGTTCACCCTCAGCTCCATCTTCTGCCTCTCCCTGTGTAACATCTGCATCAGGTGTTGGTGTCACCACTGGCTCCGCTGTAATAGAAATGTCATGTTAACTGATCACTAGGGTCACCTAGTTATAGTAGACTTACGTAGACCTGGTCTAGTCATGAAAGAACCAGGCCCAGTTTCCTCAAGGACAAGGCTATACCCTGCCCAACCCATCTGGACTGCAAAGAATGTTAATTCCCACACCAACGAGAGCAACACCAGACCAAAAACAGACCGAACAACAGTTACCTTACGGCGCATGGCCAAGAATTGTCGGTTTGGAGTCGGAATGGAGTCGCTTCCGTTAATCCTATGTGAAACAATTTTTTGTTAACCCAATTACCCAAGGCTACCTAAATTTGAATTTCAAAAGTAGAATTTTCAAAAACAAAACATAAAAAGCAGCTCTTATTTTGCAAATTTTGCTTCTACTGCTGCTTTTAGCCAAATTGAATTAAGTTAGTGCTTTTGACCTCCCTTTGTGTTAATAGAACTTTGAACAGAAAACAAACACGAGAACAAAGACAAAATGAAAACAATATGTAACATAAACACATTTTGTGAGAGAAGGAACAAATTAGACAAGAAAACAAAATAGGGTATGCATGCACTATGAAAACAAAGAAAGTGATCCCTTGAAGCACTTCTGTGCAACACAAGGCATGGCAAAGACTTATGGACATGCTGCTTGAGCAACCATGTGAGGTGCTCCAGGTGAAACCGCTTCATGTGGCCTTTGAACAGGAGAAAGAATCAGGGCCCTTTTCCTAAAACTTGTTATCAATAACAAAGCTAAGTTTCTATGAAAAATTTATTCTTAGCCAATCAAATGCAATTGCAAACTTGTTATTGATATCAAGTTTTGTGAAACATGGACTTGGCTAATCAATAATCAAATTCCCCCTTAACAGGATCTAACAGCTGACTGAGACAGTTGTGATTATTTTTAGGTTGCAATTGATTATATCACAATTCTTTATAATAAAGGGCTCTGATCGTAGTTTTATCAAACCAAATGATGAGAAAGAGAGACATATTTGATGTCAATTCATGTGCAGGACTCTACAGAGACTTGGTGTTGTCTAGGGACCCGTTTCACAAAGACTTTTTTCAATGACAAATGACAAAAATCAGTGACAAATCTGTTGATAACCAATCAGAAGCAAGGATTTCAGTAAATTATTTTTAAAAAAGTCATTTGTCACTGATGACAAGTTTTGTGAAACGCCCCCTGGAATGCTACCCTCTCAATCAGCATTCAATAAGTCTTATGCCATACCTTGTCTAGAGATGTAAAGTGCTAATTTTGTTTTGGAAATGAACAAGAAATCAAACTAATCTAAATGCAACTAAAACAAGCAAATAAACTCTCACCAAAGTTCTATAAAACCCCAACTAAGCACAGCACTAAGAATATTCAACGATCATGCCAACATAACTTTAAATAACAACGGCGCTTTTCCACCAGTGATAAGAGGATTCAAAGAGAAAAAAAATATCCACATCACAAACATTTAAGGTCTGTTGTGAGCCAGAAGGGTGTTAACTCTGTGTTAATGCACTTTTGGCTTTCAGCAGAACTCTTTAGGCCTGTCCTCATCAGTTCGAGTTTGACAAATAACCCGCTATTTTCAGACTCTGGATATTATCCCAAAGCTTAAAATTGCGCACTTCACCAGACCGATACGCTCATCACAAACTAGCTCAGACGGGCGCAAATTAGCTTGATATTTCCCAAATAGCGGGATATTTTGGAAACAAGCCCAACATTTCTCTGGATATTTTCTCAACCAAATATCCCGCTAATTGCAACTATGGGCTGATGAAGACGCAAATTAGCTGGATAATTTGCGATCGGGATAGTTAACATAGCGGGTTATTTGACAAACTCGAGCTGATGAAGACAGGCCTTTTGTGACAAGTATGGTACTTCATCTTCTGCAGCTGAAAGTAAAACTCCTATTCCAAGAGATTTGTCATCATTTTACTTGTGGTCACTGACATTCTTGTGTACATCATCTCTAGTTTCAGTTTTTAATACGATGCGGTCATTAAATATCACAAGTTCTGAGCTCTGGCTACACATACCATATGCAAGCCATTCTATTTCCTTGTTCAAAAATAGCAGACAGTGTGGATCGCGCACTTAACATGATTGATCCTGATTTCTTTCTTCTTTCTTTTTAGTAATTCCCTTGAAGTTAAGATTGAGTTCTGGAAAAGGCGACTAAATCATTTGTGAGCTTTTTCATTATTTTTCTGTAGGTGTGGAAGAGAGTTGTAGAAAAATGTCCCTTTAAGAAGAATAACACTTTTTAAATGCCCCCAAATTCAAAATATGAAAAGTAACAGCTATAGGTTGTGGACCACAAGTTTCATGCCACGTGTTTGCGTACTCCTGTATAATTCTTTTCCTGTACAGAGCATGTGACTATTAGCAAGACGTGGCCAATTACTTATCATTTTGAAGATTCCAAAACCTTACAGTATACACCAATACACCGTTTCTTTCACCTTGCGATTGCATGACCAGACCTCAACTTACTCTTTAAAGGTAAAGACCAGTATTGGAAACGCCCCAATTTCAAAAAATGAAATGGAAGCTCTCATTACCAATTATGTGAAAGAATATGATTTGACTAATACATGATGATAAAAAATTTGCCCGGAAACCGCCTACTAATTCATATATTTGGTAAATTTGTTTCTCTCATGGTCTGTGAGAGATATAGGGTAGTCCCATATACATCTTTCTGTGTATAGTGCTTGTAACTTTACGAAGAATGGGACAAATTTCTTATCATTTTGATGATTCCAGAACCTTGCAGATGCTAGATGATCAACCTTTTCTGATCGATTCCACAACGTTTCTTTCACAATGCAATCGCATAACCATAACTGGTCTTTACCTTTAAGAGGGAATTTAAGTGCCCAAAATAAAACCAATGGGTAACACTTTGAAACAAATTAATGCAAAGTATTTTTATACAATTCAAGGAGACAATAAAAGTCAGCTCAGAACTTGTGTATTTATGATTGATGCACCATGTTAAAAATTACAGAAATATTTTGTACAGCACGGATGGCAGAGTTTCAGGTATTGGAGCTGGTAAGGGTAAAGACATTTACAGTCAAAATGGTTTGGCAGTTGGCACAAAACAAATTTCATATTGAATAGAGAAAGTTTGAGGGAGGTGGTCACATACCTTCCTCGGAGTTCAGGGATTCATCTAAGCTCTGTTCTGTCAGGGTTTGGTCGTCATCCTGGGACGCTGGTGTGTTGTCTACCTGATTCTCGGCAGTCTCCTGGGGTTTGTCCAGAGAAACGTCCAAACTGATCTCCTGGGAGATGTCGAGAGACGTGTCCTGAGACGTGTCTAGGTTCACATCGACGGCCGAGTCCTGGTTGGGATCTTCCTCCATCTCTGGAATGTCTTTGGGGGTGTCCTCAATGATGTCTTTGGGAGTGTCCTCAATGAGGTCATTAGCACTGTCCTCTGTAGTATCTTTGGGAGTATCTTCAGGGATATCTTCGGGAGTATCCTCAGGGATATCTTCGGGAGCATCCTCAGTGATGTCTTCAGGAGTATCCTCAGCAACCTCTTCAGGGGCGGGTTCAGGAGTATCCTCAGCAACCTCTTCAGGGGCGGGTTCGGAAACGCCATCGGTATCTGCAGGAGAATCTTCCGGTGTTTCTGGAGTACTGTCTTGCGTTTCCGCAGTATCATCATCTTCCTTTCCTACAAGATCAACCACGATGGTAACACCACCTTCCTGGCCACCATCATCAACCTCAGGTGTTGGCTCAGCCTCTTCTTCTTTGGCAAGAGTATCCAGACTGATGCTTGCTTCCTCTGTCTTGTAGGTTGTCGCTGACAACTGATCCTCCTCCACCACGTCTCCGACATCTGGACTAACCTTGTCCTCCTCTTCTTCCTGGACACCGCTGTCCAATGACATGCCAAACTCATTTATCAAATCCTCTGCAGATTGCTTTGGTTTGTCCTCTCCCTCCTCCCGCTCTATCCTTCCGTTTGATATTTCACCTTCCTCCTCTCCTCGTTGGTCCGCATCATCTCCGTTCATCCTTGAGGGCTCCTCAAGATCAAGTTGCTTGGAGGAAGACAACTCATCGCCGTTAGCGATGACGTCCACCTCGACTGAAACCACTACTCCGTCTCCGTCAGACTTGCTGCATCCGGGCGAGTCGCCACCGATGATTTCAAAATCCTCGTTGCCGCTCGATTCTCTTGCTATGTCGCCATCCATCATCAAGTACCCTTTAAAAATCTGCAGAAAGACAAAAAACAAATCAAAAACATTTGAGAGGCGGAGTCTTTCAAAGTAGTTCATAATAATAGTTGATTTTTGTACAGCGCTCTGTCATATTTGACATTCCTGGCGCTCCACAATTATTATAACCCCAGCTTTGGCAATCTGTCATAATAGTGCTCTTGCATTTCAAGGAATCAATTCCTGCCAGGTACCCAGTCTAGTGAGTCTTGCCAAAGGACATGAGGGCCATGGCAGGGGCTTGAACCATGGTACCTTGAAACCTGGTAGGCCAATGACTTATCCACTAGACCAAAACACCACAAACATTTTATAGCTATGACCAACAACAAAAATGGATTAAACTCGTTATTGTCATATAATCATTGGTAAAAAATGAGTACAGATCAAATCCTTGTCAGGAGTGGCCTTTTGAGACCTGGGCTCCGAAACAAACTTATATTTCTGCAATTGATTGCACATCTTTCTCTCTCTATCTCTCTCTCTCTCTCAAGATTATCCCTCATTTTCTCTCTTTCTCTTAATATATCTTCCCCTCTCTCTCTCTCTCTCTCTCTTGCTATCTCTTTGTGTCCACAAGTCTCACTTGCACTTTTCCTCTATGTCCAAATCAAATATTTACTCGCATTGATTAGTTTTATGGTATATATATATATCCTGATCTATTACATAACACTACACTATCAAGGAAATTACATGTTTCTCTTCTCAGCTATTACCGTTCACAAGAGTTGCGTTCACATGGCAGTCCTTGAACTTTAAGTTAACTTTAAGTTTAGGTCAAAGTTTTAAAGTTCAAGGTTGTCATTTGAATTAGAGACCATGCAGACACACTCCTGGTTAGGAAACTTTAAGGCCCGAATTCACAAAGCAAGGTTTGAGCTCAGACCAAGGTTTGAGCTCAAACCTCCTTTTGTTTCGCCAAACCTCCTTTTGTTCTTTACAAACCAGGTTTGTAAAAAACGCGTAAAACTCGTCATATGACGTACAAAAACCAAGGTTTGAGCTCAAACCTCTTTTGTGAATTCGGGCCTTAGAGTTTGTGCAGAAGAAATAAAAGGAGAGAGGGTAAGAGAGAGAGAGAGAGAGAGAGTTAAGGAGAGACGACAGAGCGGTAAAGAGAAAAATAATTTAGTATAGAGAAAGAGGTTGTGCAAAAGAAATAAAGGAGAGCGAGAGAGTAAGATAGAGGGAAAGAGAGGAAGAGAGAGAGAGTTACAAAGAGACGACAGAACGATGAAGAGAAAAATCATTTCTTATAGAAAAAGAGGTTGTGCAGAAGATCAAAAAGGAGAGAGAGTGATAGAGAGAGAGAGAGAGTGAGAGAGAGGGGGAGAGATAGAGTTATCAATCATGAATGATTGTAAGGTTCACGCAATAACAATAAGTGCATTAGGGTTCTTACTGCTCTGTACTTTAAAAAAAGACATTTTTATTTTCCCTCCTAAATACTTTCAATCATACCGAATATGACTATTGCAAATCTGTTTTTTCTTCACCTCCTGTAAGGAAAAAGTCTATTCCTTCATCAATAACAACAAAATAAATAAAATTTTATGAAATATTATGTACAGAGCAAGTTGGAGAGGAGCTTCACAAGATCAGTCGCATTCCCCTTTAAATACTCTTTCCCGATAGGATCCCTTTAAATGAATGCAGTCTACATCAGGCAAGGAAGGAGGAAGGAACAGGAAAAAAATCCACATCCTCGTTAAGAAATAACTTATCAACTCGCAAGATATCAACAATATATAATACACACACAACAGACAGACATATATGGATTACAGAAGACTGGGTGCGCTGGTATAGATTGTTCAATAAATATATTCTATTTCCTGGATAGCAATGGAAAGTTACTGTCTGAAGAGTAACATTGAACAAGATTAATAGATTAATGTGAGGCAATTAATCAACAGCATTTAAATAAGTATAACTGAACAGTGATGATGTTGTTGTTTTGCTTTGGGGTATTTTTTGAGGAGGGGGGGGGGGTAACAAAAATCATGAAATTGATATTTCTGTGATGAAGAAAATAGAAAACTGTCAGAACTATAGAGATAACAATAACATTTATGGAAAGAGATGAAATGTGCATCAGTCGGGAGCCACAAGAGCATTACATTTAAAAGGCTTCAAGCAAGTCTTTCTTATATATTTCAACAGGGGGGGCAGAACTGAGCACTATCATTGCATGCACTGGGGGCCCTGTTTAAATTGGTAAATTTAGGAGTCGGGAATTGCGGCGTAGAAGTTTACACTACCTGTATAGTCTACACTGTACTCAAGTACATCAGGGGAAGCTGGGGGAGGGGCGCAAGACCATGACCCCCCCCCCCCCCCCCCCCCCTCTTCTACTTCCATTAATGTACACTTGTACACAGTCAGCATGGGAGACATCATTGATTATCCTGCTCATGCAAACATACACAGAAGAGCACCAGTGGGACCAGTGGCGGTCAGCTGGGCAAATGCAGAGGTACTTTCGAGCATGAAACTAATACTGATGGACCATACATGTACATAAACTTTACCGTTACTATAATTTTTTCTCACCAAGAAAAAAAAACTTGCTTCATTAATTTGCATATTTCATTTCCGTATTGCAATACAGACAAAAAAGGGAAACTTCAGTTTAAAGAAAATGTGGGGTGACCCCAAATTATTTTGCTATTTTTAAGACTTATATATTGTACATGTACATGACCTTTAATGATATGATATTTTCTTATCAAGAGAAAAAATCTTGCTTCAGTAATTTGCATAATTCATTTCCTTATTGCAGTATGGAGGAAAGAGGGAGACTGGAGTGAGGCTTACCGGTGATCACCTAGCTATTAAAGCCCCACTGCACTACTTATAGCTACTTGGGCCCTCTATATAGCAAACAATCCCTAATTGGTCACCATTGGTCCCCCATGGTCCCCTTGTTCTTATGTTAATTGAGAGCTGATTTGATGAGATACACTATGAATATGACGGACAAAGAAAGCGGACAAAATATACAGTTCCTCAGGTAGATAAAGGAACATCCCTTCACTGCTAAGATGTGAATATGCATGTGACACCTGTTCTACATATTTTTACATAATAGCAGTGAAGGTATGTTCCTCTGTCTACCTGAGGAACTGTATATTTTGTCCGCTTTCTTTGTCAGTCATGTTCATAGTGATGGCCAACCGGCAGTGACGGTGTGACCATGCAGGAAGGTTTAATCCCTCCTAGTGCAGATAGGCTTTAACAATTCATTTCATAATACATGTTGATGATGAGACACCATTCACTTCCCTTATTTTCCTTCCCTGAATTGTCCTCATAAAACGCAGCAAATATTCATCAAAATTGAAAATTTAGAATAAAAAGAAAGTGATGCAGTATCAATCAATTAATCTCAAAAACTCCTATCCCATCCTTTGCTTCTCTCCAAATCAAATGAAAAGAATGGATAAGTCACCAATTGCAAAAGAGTACAATGGATTATTACTTTATACAATCGTACATAAGCAAACAAACATACATACAGACAAACTGACAGACAAACAGACATGGAGTAAAGGGTAACAATATGATAGAAAAAATATAGCCACTTATATAGTGCTCATATCCATTGAAGCAATTGATTATTCTTGCATATGTCCCAGCCGCCAAAATAACTAGCGCTCAAGCATATCGGGTACCCATTTACACGTGGGAGGAGTCTGGAGAGTTGCAAATGTAGATTTATAAACATCTTGCGGGGCTGGGGTTTGAATCCCTTACCTTGGTATCTACAGGTAACTTTATATATGATAAAGAAAAAATGTGAAAAAAACCTTTGCAATGGTTTCGTGGAAAGATTTCATGGAAAGATATGGTGAAGGAATAATGCAGTAAGGTGTGTCTAAACAACAATCAAAGACATCGTTAGTTTGAGATCTACTTTCTCAAGCATCACACATCTGTAGGGTGTGGTTGGTAAAAGTGAGGCCGATGCTCGAGACAAGAAAAAGTGGAGGGAGAGAGGGAGTGTCATCATGGCGCGAATGTCAGTAACCCCTCGTACGAGGGAAAATGCTGACTTTAAAAAATGATGATGATAATGATGATGATGATGATGATGATGTGAAGAGAGTTGTATGAAAGAGCTAAGAGCGAGAAGGGCAGTTATTGCAAGATAAAAGCTTCAAGGTTATGCTTTTCTAGCTACCAGTAGAAAATAAATTCAAACAAATATTCCAAATATTGAAATTATTATCAATACAATGCTGTATGGCTACAAATTTACAAGCACAACATGATCACAAGAAATCAAGGATATCAAAGTAGCCTCATGACAAGAAAATAGATTCACAATTCACTTTTCAGGGCTGCAAAGATTTCTTGAATCAATTAACCTTGTCAAATCAAGGAATCAGGTTAAATCCCACTGTTCTTACCGAGTATATATTCAAAATATTGAATTCACGATTTACTTTTTAGGACTGCAAAGATTTCTTGAATCAATTCACCACGTCAAATGAAGGTGTCAAGTTAAATCCCACTGTTGTTACTGAGTATATATTCAAAATATTGAAATTATTATGGTTACAACGCAATTTTGCAGCACATTTACAAGCACAACATGATCACAAGAAATCAAGGATTTCAAAGTAGGCTCATGATTGCAAAGATTTCTTGACTCAATTAACCATGTCAAATCAAAGTATCCGACTGTTCTTACCGAGTGTTGGATCTAATGGCAAATGAAAAATATCCAATATCAATCGCTCACAAGGGCAGAGTTAACGCAGAATCTGTTCCAGAGTGACAATCAAGAGGAGAGCGCAGACACAACCATCCCGAAAGACAGATATCGGCAGAGTGAGGAAGAGACCGACAGAGCATGCATTTGTAAGGAAGTCAAGCGAGGGATACGCTTTATGGATTCAGTTGGACGAAGAGAGAGAGAGAGAGAGAGAGAGATGGAGGGGTGGCTCAGGGGAAGTGCTAGTGCTGACAAAACAAGAGGAAGGGTGAAA